CTCTATGAGTGCAGGTGTCTGTGGGGCACGGCTGCACCCTGCCTGCTTCTGTGAGAGGTTCTGGATGTCACAGGGCTGCAGTGAGCACCAGTCAAAAAAACACTGCCCTGAATGATGATACACCAACACGCTGCAGGCAAAGCACTGTTCTTTCAGGCCTCCCGCTTGCCTTGCTTGTGGCATTTGCTTCGGGTAGCTGTAACCTTTCAACAACACTTGCAAATGCTTTGTGCGCTGCACAGAGCTTGCAACCATGCTGCGTAGGTTGCAACACAAACAACAAACCCAGCAATTTCAACACGGCTGCGCCAACGTTTTGAAAAGAAAAACACCTCTCTTTACAAACAGAACGAGAAGTCGTGATCTCAATTTCCCTCCCTGAACAGCAGTCCTGCTGCTCTCCTTACTCTGAACTGACGCTGCTCCTCGGGCATGCAGGTCTGCCCCACACTCTGTAATTCAGTAGCAACACAGCCTTTGACTCCTGCAGTGAAAAACCAGCCCACGCACCCCTCTGGTGTCCCACCGAGTTCATCCCACAGCCCTGATTCTTTCCCTTTCGCAGTTTTCATCATCTAAATCCACCAGCTGCCAACACAGCAACCCCAAATCACAGCAGCTACAGACAAGGAGATGCAGGCCTTCACCACTCATCACACGTGCTCTGTGCAGCATTACAGAGCATTACCCCAAACCATACACGTCTGTGTGTTTTTCCCATGCTCCTGCACAAAGCTGCACGTTGGGAGTCAAAAGAAATCAAACATTTCTGTGCGCTTGCCCATAATACTCGCAGGCACCCAAAGCCCACCCACAACTTCATTTTCAATTAACAGCTCTTAGAAAAGCAGTAATGAAAGCAGTTGCTAAAGAGCACTCAGATGTCATTGAGAGACTGCAAACCCAAACTGTAAATAGCACATTGTAAATGGCTTGTCAGCAGCCAGCTCTCACTGGAATCGTGCTGCCGGTGACAATCAAACCCATCTGCTCAGCTCCCACCCTGCAGCACCACGAGCCCTACAGCTCACACCGGGTCCCACAGTGTGCTGCTACCTGCCATGCATGGCCTTGGTTCCTCACCACCAGCAGGATGACGGCAGCTCACAGCATCACATCACCCACTCCAGCAGCAAGGCACTGCCACCTGAGGCTGAGCATGCTGCAACCAGATCCCGAGCACAGTTAGTGTCTGCAAGAGACAATGGCAGGGCAGGAGAGCAGCCACCAAGCATTAGTTTCCTGTGTAAGACGTGCAGATTCAGGGCAGGACTGCCAAGGGGATCTCTGACTTGATTCCGAGAAGAGAAAGTTTCAATACTTTCCTCCCTCCCCCTTATTTGATTCATGTAAATGGACTGCAAGGTTAAAGCTAATGCTTGCAGCTGATGGCCCTCAGATTGAGACGTGCATCTTTTTATTCTTCTTCCCTGTCTTCCCTTTATCACACTAAAACTAACCTTCTAATTCACCTCTCTCTCCATCACCAGGTTTCCTTCCTTAATTCATTTTCTGCACTCTCTGCCAGTGTGTCTCACTCAGCACCAGGAATTGGGATTCAGCTGGCTTAGGCACAGCCCCACAGCACACAATGCCATCTCCTACTGCGCATAAAGCAGCTCACAGACCACTGCACAGCACCCAGACTGCAGCAGAGCAATACAAACACTGAAGAGGATGCTCTCCTACAACACAGCACGTGAATCTTCCAGCCGAGGCAATAAAAATGCGACGAAGGAAATGATGGTGGTAGCAGAAGTCAGCATCTTCTGCGCTTTCTAGAACAATTACCCCCTGAACAAAGAACACTGATCCTTCCTCTTGCTATCAACACACCTGCTGCAATCAGTGTCCTTTGTTCCTAGCATGCCCCAATCTGCTCAGACCCCGAGGAACAACACCGCATTAAAAACCATTACAGTTTTTTGCCATCCCTTTTCTAATTTAACAATGCTCACTTCAAGACTTCCACAAGAGCGTTAAAGGAAATGTGTAATAACACTCCATCTACCAATTAATGTAAAGGAAATTAAATCTAAAATGCTGGAGAAATATTCTGATGAGCCTTATGTTTGCTTAACGCCAACTAAAGTTTCCTCAAGGCATTTAATAAGTACATTTATAAGAGCTCACAAAGAAGAGTTCAAAAGTCTTCTTGCTAGTAAAATATGAGCCTTAATTAACCTATAGTTTCACATTTTCTGGATTTCAATAAACCTGTAGGCATTTCAGCATAGCTGAATAAATACCTGCATGAAGACTGCAAAGATTTTCTCTGAAAACTAATTAGCAGTCCTTCCAATAGCTGACTTCAACTAAATCTGTTTGATGAGGGAGCTTCGTACTGTAAATCCTGCATGTGAGAGTTACTGCCAGCAGATAACAGATTTCACAGGGAGACGTACCAGACAGGACTGTTAACTACTGGTAGAACGACAAACAAGATCTCCAGGTGTAAAACATTCCCAACAGGGACAGACTGCAGCCTAGAGCTTGTTTGCCAGCACAGGAACACAAGTGACAGCACCGAGATGGCATCCTGCCATCCAAACGTAATATTCACATGTGACAATTCAGGATTCCTCTGAGGACAACAGGAGCAGGATACCTTGCTTACGTCTAAATCACGTAGCCTTAACACAGCAGAGATTCCATATAGATAGATATATATATCAGCAGCAAACTACATTTACACTGCATCACAGGATGGTGTTGCTTGGAAGGGAAAAAAAGATTATCTGCCACGAGCATCATTGCCACCATGGGTTGCTGCCCAAGGGCCCATCCAACCTGACTTTGAATGCCATCCATGGCTTCTCTGGGCAGCCCATGCCAGTGCCACCACCCTACTGGCTTCAAACCTTCCTACTTTGTCCAGTACAAGACAGCAGTGGGCCAGTTCTTGCTCTCATCTAACAGGCAGCTTTACTTCCAAGTAAGAGCCCAGCACAGCAGTGGGATGACAATGGGAAATCAAACCCAACGCACAACCAATGGCTGCTCGAGGAGGGAAGATTTATATGTTCAGAGGGAACAAATCATCCTCAGAATTTACCAGCCCCCTCCTTTTTTTTTTCAGGATCTTTGCCATTTGTCTTGAAAGAAACGACAGAAAATACTTAGTATAAATATTGCATGTAAATGTTGTGTGCCTTTTCAAATAGGCTTTATTGTCTATTACCAAAGCCACTTGGATTTACAAGTACCTGAACTGTTCTTAAGACCAAGATGTTCTTGTCTAAGGAGCTGTACCCCTTCCAGATGTATTAAATTTATACTGAGCAAGATATTTTATTTCCTTTCAGGTTTATCCCTCAGGAATTAAGCAGAGTTCTCAGATTTATCAGCTAAAAGGAAAAGCATTTTCTATGACATTTGTCAACTCAATACCTTCCAAGTCAGTGTATATTTATTTTTGAAAACATAACCTCACAAATAACCTCCATCAGCAGCTTGGCTGATTCCTTCATTGCTTAAGTACCAGGCAGAAAGGTTTCACCTGACAGCAGGCTATGCCAGGGGAATCAGAAAGTGCAAGAAGTCAGCTTTTCTGAAGGCCAGTTCCTAGTGTACAAAGCAGAGATATTTACCATTTCACATACTGAAAAGAAACACAACGAAGAAGGCTTAGGTGAACACAGAAAACAACAAAGGAACACAGCAGCCTTCAATATCTACTCATACGCATTGCATCAGCTGCCCTGAAGTGTCCCCCAGCCTTCCTCAGAAACAAATGATACCAAAATGAGCAGAAATACCTTTAACAGGTGTGGTAGCATAGATACTATACAATTTGCTTGCATGGCTGAACTCTATAATCTCTTATTTCAGTCTTGCATACACTCAACGGAAACACTTCTACCAGGTTCTGTAGCTCATTATCAAAATGGAATGCAAGTCAACATACTTGTTCTCAAAGTTTTTCCCATTTCCCTGAGGTCACAGAAGGAGAAGCAGCAGTTCTCAGTTTTCTATATTAAGTTTCTCAGCAAAGCAATGTTTGGTTTTCACCAACCAATGATAAAGACTCAAAGAACACCAACTACCTCCATTAAACAGATACATCTTGATAAAAAGCCATCAGCATCACTCAAATTTGGGTCGAAGCTGGCTATTATTTTTTCTTTAGACTTCAGCTCTGTCGACAATGAGCCAAACAACCAACAGGTACATGCCATAAGTAAAATGTCCACGATCTGATTTATTTTTATTATATTATAAACACACGCAGGATATCAGTCATCAAAAAAGCAAAACGTGGCTTTTCTTGCTAGAAAAATGACTTCTGCCATATATTTTTTCTGACTTAAAAATGGGAATCACAGCACCGCACAGTCCTGAAGAAAGGAGACCAGCACTTCCAGCCTCAAGCCTTCTACTCCTGGATTCTGCACATTTGTACACCTGCAGCTCAGCTACCACTGAAAGACACCCCCAGTGCCGGGCAAGCAGGAAATTCTTCTTCCAGACAGGAGATCAGTAAGCCAAAAGGGCTCACACTGGTCGCACTGACATCCTACCAATGAGCTCCTCACACCCATAACGAGTCTTAAGAGTTCTGTCTTGATTAACAGCTGCTCTCTCACAACTCCCTCACCTTGCCCTTCTTCAGAGAGAATCTCAGGTTTCTGTGCACACAGCCTAAAGACAAGGAGGTGCATTTTTAACACCAAGTTTGCCCAGCAGCATAACACACATTTACTTGCCCTGGCAGTCTCACAGTCAGCCTACACGAAACTCATTCCAACCTCTGGACATCCATTAATCAGCTCAGCTCCAGCAGCAGTAAGAAGCCACTTTCTCTCCCGCTTGGTCAATCTCTTCTCATACCAAGACTTGATAGCAAGTGCCACCCAACAGCCCAACAGCAAAGCAACCACAAAGGGGTTTCCTTTCCAAACAAACCAGCGATCCCATAAAACAAACAATCCACTTCTACACACCGTGGGCCAACAGCCAAAGTCCCCCCTCCCCACAAGAGGCAACTCCTGCTCTCCTACCTGTCTGAGGCCCTTCAGTAATTTCTTCCTTTTCCCAAGGTGCTGACAAAGATTGCGATCGTTCTCTCGGTCAGAGCTGTACTGGTGGTGGTGAAGTCTGTTCTTTTTCGGAAGATATGACAGCCCATTGCTAAGTGCTTCCCGTTTCTTCTTGGCCAGAGGATTCTGTCGCTTCTCCACGCGTTCCTGAGGTTTCAGAGCTACGTCCTTCTACAGAGGAACAGAAGAAAAACAGTGGTCAAAATACAGCTGTGGTCAGCCTCTTCAAGCAGCAATTCCCAGAGCGACCATCTGAGCACATTCAATGCAATGCTGCAGTCACCAGAAGAAGACAAAACAATCCTCACTGACCTCCAGGTAAACAAGAGTCAGCTGAACGCCAAATAAAACGTGATGGAGTGCACAGACACACAGCTTCAGATTTCGTACCACGAACCTCACAGTTCTCAGACGTGTCACATCTACGAGCACGCATTTAGAAGACAACATATGTTTATAACATTTAACAATTCCCTTCTATTTAAACAAGCCTTAGCCTTTCACATTTCTTTGTACTTATTTCCTTTGACTTACACTTGACAGGACAAGGCAAGAGCTGACCTAAAGCCAATTAATGTCAATGAATCTCAATTGCCTTCAGTTGATTTTTCCTCAAGCCTGACCTCAGTACATTTCCAAATCTCAAGGAAAAAAACATCAAAAGAACAACCCTTATGGTCGTATCTGCTTGAAAGTGACCCTTCTTTAAACTCCAGAATCAACATCTGCCTATTAAAAACCACTCGTCTCATGTAACATAAGCACAAGTTCTGATGCTCAGCCTTCAGATACTGTTATTTTCTTCCTGATATCCTGCAACACCATTTTTTGTTTTAAATAAGTGCTCATTTCCCAATGAAACAGAATGAATGGCAGAGGAGGATGGAGGAATCACAGTGGGTCCTTGGGAGAAGCTGCTGGGGGAATGCACATGACAACACGTATTGGGCTTTTAATGAATGCAATCAGCTGAATCCCAGCCACTCCAAGAACTGCACGCGTAAGAATACAGCGTTCCTCCATTAGGACACACTGTTTGAATAGTCTAGTACTACAAGCATCTCCTACTAACATTCCTGGAAGCTTTGACTAAAAGCTCTGCACTGCATCATGAAGCGCTGTGATATTGTGAGCCTCCATGCTTTTATTTTTATCATCACTTAATACTGTATTTGACAGCAGAACAAGTTGGGAGAAACCAATTGGTGGACTGGTCCTGTGTCACATGGAGACTCAAGTTTAGGAGAGTGTAATTCCAATTATGCCATATTTAAATACAAAAAAAATGCCTACAAGCAAAAACCAGTTTGCCTTTAATTAAAGAATGCTCCCCAAATGCACAAGAACTTCATAAAATTCATAACTGAAACCAACGTGATGATTAATTAAACTGAAGCCAGCAAATTTTCCAATCTGGTACTGGATAAAAGAGAAATTTCACATGCATTACAGATGGACAGCAGCTGTAAGACTTTCTCTTTCTTTCTGAACCGCTCCCCATCACATTTGTACTCCAGATCCTTCATCACTGTATCACAGAACAGCCACACACCTTATGATAACTGCCATTGTACTGCTATATTTTTTTTTCCAACTCAGTACCAAAAAAATCCATTGCTTTATGAACAGCACATCATACCAGTGCAGGGGTTCAAACACAGAGCTCATGTTTGTAAACAGAGAGAAAAAAAACAAAAGGGGAGGAACCTTCCAGAAGAAAATAAATATTCTCCTAATGATCAAATTGCTTTGTGAGATTTTTTTTTTTTTCCTTTTTTCCCCCCTGCAGATGAAGATCTAAATGAAACAGTGGCAGGTTTCCAGAAGCTTATAAAATGTCTCATGGGAATAACGCCGCCACCAAGAAATTACTGGCTGCCATGAGTTTTACAGAGGGTACAAGATGGGTCAAATTTTGCAGAAGACTGCAGGCATGCCTGCCTTAACCATCCCTGTAAGACTCCCACGTTGTAGTTAACCTCACCAATAATTTCATGGACTGTCAGACCTACAGGAAGGTTTGGCTCACACGAGCACTAAGCCACGTGAACACACACATATGCCTACAACAAAGATAAGCAACATCAATGCCACAAATCCTTCTACTCTCTGTGAAAGCAGCATATCTGCAGGAACAACCTGCAGAAGTCTCCAAAAAATAAGATGCAAGAAAAGAAGGCAGCTCCATACACACACAGCTTGTCATTCTGCAGACTGCAGCCCCTAAATGCACCTTGGTAGATGGGTTTACTATGAAATTTAGACACAAAGACTGGTGTTTAGACAACTGGGATCCTCCAGAACTGCTAGCTGCTTTCCGCCAGCTGACACTGCTGCAGAGAAAATTACAGAGCACTGTGGGTCAAAACCTCCTATTATCCAACTGTACCACAGGGCCTCTTGTCACATTCAACAGATACGCAATTCGGTGCCTAAAATACACTTATTTGCTTGCTCCAAATCTGTATCTGCAGACTGGACTCCAACAGCACACGTTAAAGCTTAGAGACACGCAGGCAGGATGCACTACAACCAGCTCTAATAGCAGTCACTGCTCTGTCAATCTCATTCCTCAGGGTGCAAATGGCCCCGGACCATTCTGGCACACTGAGTGCACACAAGGCTGCAGAGGATGGGCACAGATTCTGCCCCCTGGGAAGAAGCTCAGAAAGGAGGCAGTCTGCTGGGAACACGGCCCTGCACAAACCACCTCCTCACTCTGACCTTTCTCATCCCATTCCCATCTTTCTGTTGTTGAGATAGGACAATAGCTGTACCACGCCATGTGCTACGACATTAGCCAGCACAGTCTTAATTACGGACTTTAGGCATCGTCATGATTAGAGTAATAAGCTGTAATTACTCTGAGGTGACAGGGCTGCACAGACCTTATCTACGTAGATAAGATGTAGTAATATTTCATGTCGTGGCATATTTCTGAGCAGCTGCCCATGGAGCTGATTTGAGCACATCCTGCAAAAGATGCATTCTGACTTTAATGTAAGCTTTCCTCCTCTCCTGCCAGCACACAAACCCACACATTATTAAATAAATCATACAAACATATTAGGCATGGTTTAAAACAACCTTACTCGAAGATATCTTTCATCAGTAAAGTGCCTTAAGTGTATCAGAAAGGTGACTTAAATGTATAAATATGTAATTACATACAATTCCATAAAAAAGTGCATTAATATTTGAGTGTACCGTATCATCTAAAAAAAAAAAGAAATTCCATTTGTTTTGCTTCTGTTGGGCGCACTCATCAGCCCAACATCTTTGCATCATGGAGAAGAGCGGCCCTGCTAACAGGTCCTGTCATAATACTGACGATGGGAGGCTCTGCCATCATCACAGCTCCCATTAACAGCATCAGTCCCAACCCCAGCCCTGCACTGAAGCAGCTGCTTGGGTACTACAGGTTTCTTCTACTACCAGGAGGCTTGAAGGACACTCTGCACTCTCACTGAGCACTGAAGCCTCCAGCAAGCCATGCCTTACTTATTTCAGGAAAGTCCATCTTCCTCCTACCTAAGTGACAGCTTATTAATTAGACATCAGGTCCCCAGGGGCAGCCAAGCATTTCTTCGGACAGCCTCGATCTCCTCAAGTCATCATTACAGGCCATTTTTCTGATCCTGGTGTTGTAAGAACTTACCTTCTGAATTCACACACAATGTGAGCCCAGGTATTATTATTTTTCTAAAATGAAAGTATATTACAGTGTGCGAGTAGCGTAATAAGTAATAACTGTGTCAAGCCAAAACTGTATTCCAATTATTTGCTTGTCAGTTCCCTGCTAGTTCACAATAGCTTTGTGTAAGAGCCTAAGAGTTTACACTTCACCTCAATAATAAAATTAGATATAAAGAATTAAGAGACTTCTCTTAAACACCCCAAATTATTACATAGCCATGAAATATCAGCGTTCTCTAGAACGACTGGTTTGAAACACCACCAGCCCACCCCTGCCTTGAGCGCATGCATTTTCAGCCTGAAACCAAGCACCTCTACCAAATCACATTGCAATGAAGGTACCTGTGGAGCCCACAATAGAATCAGAGAACCACAGGCTGGCTTGGGTTGGAACTGGGTGGGCTGTAAGGTCCCTTCCAAGTCCCAGCTCAGGTTGCCCAGCACCCAGCCATGGCCTGGGGCACCTCCAGGAATGGGGCACCCACAGCTCTGGACAAGAGGGAAGCTGTGGATCTGTGTTTTCCGTCAAATTTGGGAAGAACTTTTAAAGCTGATGGATGAAAGTGCCTTAAGACTTCAACCCTTCCCTCTCTCTGTAATTCCTTACTTTCCTTCTGGCAGTAACATCAAGATGTAAAGGTTTGATAACCAGGCAGTGAGTAAACCCCACAATCTTTCAAAATCAGAAAATAAAATGCTTATAATAGTCATTTTGTTTCCCTCCAGATAAGATAGCTAAACACACCATGCCTTCTTCTGAATGCACAATTAACTTCTCAGAAGTGTTTGTCTGAGGGGAAATAAATTACAAACCCTCCTAAAACACCACTGGAGAGAAAGGAAGGCAGCACGGTGCAAAACAGAGGACTCACCAAATGTGGCAGTGATGGCATTTTAGGGCTCCAGGGCCCAGTGAGATGTCACCCAATCTGGGCACAGCAGCCCGTTTGCTCATCCCAGCCGTTTTTCCAAGTTCCAAGACCTCAGCAGAAACATTTAATTTAGATTTCTTTGTTGCCTTTCTTTCCACGAAATTACGATTTGTTGCCTTCTGCATGTGTCTCAAATCTGAAAACAAAGTGCTGTGCAGGAGGGGCCGTGCAACAGACTGAAGATGGAACGCCGTCCCAGGCTGCAGGGCTGTACGCGGTGCTTACAGATGAAGGCAAAACAATAGAAATGCAAGTTGCTGTCTGCTCGAGATATGTTTTATAAAAGAGCTTCTGTAGCAAAGAGATTGCTTTGATTTTTCATCCCAACATCATTTGTTAACAATATCATCGATAAACAGACGGCGGCTTTTCAGGTGCTGCTGATGTGAACTGCACACACAAAAAGCAGCACTAAAGGCACATTACTGAGGTTATGAAGTCAAGGACCTGGAAGTTATGAAAGGCCAGGACTGAGGCTGCAACCACCACCTGAATTCAGCCCTCCCGCTTCCAGGCGTTACGATACAATCTTTAATTACATGA